TCATTCTTTCATTCCAAAAGCCCTGATAGCGCCGCTCCATGGATTTTATTTCTTGATGAAACCTTTCACGTACCTGTACATAAACTGTCATAACTTTGACATTTATCCATAGAATTACTACTTGTAGATATTTAAAAAATGGGCATATTTTAATGATTTTTGCTTCTTTTTGGTAAAATAGTAAATACTTAATTCTAATTTTGTCCAAAAAATTGACTTTTTCTCGATATTTGGCCCCATTGCACCTAAACTTATTGACTAATTGGGCATTTATATAATTACATTTGTTATTATGTTAATTAGGTTTAATTTGACATCTGTTGTAATCAAATTGGCCATTTCAAACTCGAGATATATCCCAAATAGTAAAGCCGGCATCGAAAAATCAAAGACAATTTTTTATTTGGAAAATCTTGCCATAAAAAAAAATTTTATTGTCATTTTCGAGTTTAGCAGGCCAAAATACATCAGAAAAAAATAGTCGCACTCAAGGTACATTTTGACTGCAAACCAGTATAATCAATTTAAGTCTATTTTTATAAAATATTTTGAACAAAATGCCACTGGTTTCAAATAGAACACCCCATATATTTTACATTTAAAAATTCTAAATAAAATTTGAGTAAAATTACTATACCATGTCTTATCCTAAGCTTGATAAGGAGGGAACCATAATAAGCGATGTTAGGGAAATCGTGAACAACTTAATTACATATTTTTTGTAAGTATAGTACGGCAAAATAAAAGTTTTTTATTGGTCACCACGACAGGAACGGAAATAATAAACCTAACAACTTGCTTAAAAATAGTTTCTCTTGTGGATGGGACCAAATACCCTCATTTATATTTTAACATACTTAGTCCATATCAGCATGTTTTTTTAAAAAGTAGGTCCACAAACTCTGCCCTATTCAACATAACAAAAGATATTATTAAACATTCGATTTTAGAAAAGCTTTTGATAGTGTAAACTTTGACATATTTCTTCTGAAACTTGAGCACTATGAAGTAAGAGGAACAGCACTTCTTTGGTTTTAGTCTTACCTCAAACATAGGCTTCAAAGGACTAAAATAACAACGAAGTCAAGCAGCGTCTACTCGGAATGGGGTAAAACCACAGCAGGGGTCCCAGAAGGATTAATTTTAGGACCATTACTGTTCCTACTTTATATCAATGATTTGCCATCCAATACAAACTTGGTGCACTCTAAATAAAATTAAAATAAACTTTGAAAAAACCAAATGTATATATATACTTACAACAAAGAAATGCCAACGCAGAACACCCTATTCTAAATTATAATATCAACTATGAAAGTAAACTTAAATCTCTGGGTATAATTATTGACTCGCCACTGAACTGGAAAGACAACGTTAACTCCTTGTGTAACTCTTTAAGATCAGCGTGTTATTGTCTAAGAGTATTAAAACTTAATGGTTTATTTTAGTTATTTTGAAAGTAAATTAAGTTATGGCTTAATATATATACGCCTTAAGAACAATTTTAGCTTAAAATAAAGGGAAAGTTGTAAAGAATATTTCATTTTAAATAACATTTTGACATTCCCCTCCTTGCTTATTTTTATATGTTTGGTTTTCTTTATATGAATAAAAGTGATTTTAGTTTCTTTTTAACTCAAACACGCGTCAAAATGGTTTAATTATATACGAGGCATATTACACCAGCCTATTCCAAAAGAGTATTCTGTATATGGGCCCAAAATTTTACAATAGACATTAGATTTCAAAATTTAAGAAATTTAAAATCTTATTACCAAATCGTATTACTCATACACAGTAAAAAAAATCAACTCAAAGCAACACTAATTGGAGTTCACACAGGTCCACACTAAATAGTGTTGTTTTATAACACTACAATTAGAGTTAATTTGTAGTGTAGGTAATTTTTCCCAAGTAAGCAAGTATGATTTAACACTATAGCACTGATGATAAAGTAATTTTACACTGTATTAAAAAGTGTTAATTTACGTAAAATCGTGTACTTCTACACTTCCTGGGTAAAATCCCACTTTTGTTCAGTGTAAATTAACACTACTTTGGAAAAGTTCTAATTTTAGAAAGGTACTTTTACTCTTTTAGTGCAAACTTCTAGTGTAAATTAACACTATTATTTGAGTAAAACCTATTGGTGGTAGTGAATAAAACGAAAAGTTAAATAAAGAGAAACATTTATTTGGAACAAAAATCTATGACAATTATCAAAATCGGTGCCTTTTAAGATATAATTTTATATTTGAGTCGTATGGTTGGCTTAAGCAAAATGGTTCCTTAAAACGTAAAAGTTTTAGATCAATGCAATGTTTTACTGGCTGTTAACTTGTAAGCAATGAATTAACTTGAGAATTCATCAGTAATCCAATTTTCTGTTATAAAAAATGGATGATCCCATTGGTAGAGAGGCGTCAGGCGGCTGTATGTCGGGGATTTACCACACGTACAAATTTTCCAAAATATTAATAAAAATGTAGGTATAGGTTAATATAACAACCATTACGCTTGAAAATAAAAAAGTAAATCAAGTGTGTATGTTTTATATTATTAATTTTACAAGTACCCGACCAACTGCCGTAAATTATTGATATATAATATAGGTCGGGTATGGACACAAATCAACTCTAATATTTTTACTCTAATATTTTTACCCCTACACTAAAAAATTTACACGGGCAAAATTTTTTACTGTGTAATATGATATTATCATGAATTCTTAAATGATGATTTTTAGTGTGGATCAGGTAACTTTCATAAGAAATTTTCATTGTAATTCTTAGCTGATTCTTATTAAATTTGCACTTATTTTATTTATAAGGTTATATGCATATCCTTTTAATATTATTGTGAGGAATTGCCTATTTTTCTGTACAACCTGAGTTGTTTTGAGTGTTTTGTAAATAAAATTACTGAAAAAAATAACAGTCAGTGACTTATAAAAATACTACTCACTTTAATCAGAATTTTATGTATATATACATTTTTAAATACTATAGTATACTATTTAAAAATGTAAAAATAACAAAGGTCAAACCGGAAGTGGCATTTTGTTTAAAATATTTTAGAAAAATAGAAATAGAAAGAAATTGGAATATAAACGCTTTAAAAATTTCAAATCGATATCTTTTGCTGTTCCCCAGAAACTTTTAATGAACCACGGAAGTGAAACACCCTGTATTTACATATTTAAGCATTTACTGTCGGAAAAAACATATTATTGTGGTCTCCCTCAAGACGGCTTTCTTTCATATTCTTAGTGAGCATTATATAAATTGACCTGGGTTAACTTTCGATATTGATAATTATAATTATTCGGTATATTTTAGCTTTATATTTTAAAACACCACGTTTTTTATGGTTGAAATAAATCCTGTACATTTTAAAGAAGTATTTTCGTGGCCTAAACGCCTACCTCAAGACTAAGTCTCGCTATAACAGCCCTTAGGTGTGTAAAATTAAAAAAAATGGGTCAGTATTGGCCGACGTTAACGACTTATGTTAGTGAATTGGCCGAATATTGGTAATAGAGTAATTGCATCAAAAATGAAAATCCCTAAAAACCTTTTTAATGTAATCTAGAGGTAAAAACACATTGCAAAAATATTTTTTTATATTCCAAAAGTTCAACCCGGCCCCAAAATATCAAATTGAAAAAAAGGTACTTTTCAAACGTTCCGAACTCCCGCCATATTGCATGACGTCATAAGCTTCACCAGCTGTCAGAAATCAAGATGTCAACAAATAATAAACACCGATAAAGTTTATGTTTAACATGGAAAACGCGAAACCAAAAATTGGTTGTAAATATTGTTTTGTGCCTTGTTGTACAAATACAACCTGGAAAACTCCTGGGAAAGTTGTCCCTTCAATTATCAAAAGCAAAGTTTATGACCCTACACTGAGAGTAGTTACGGCTCAGCCGTATTTTCTTGAATTTATTAATATTTAACATACCTATTCAAACCATATACCTAGTAAACGACATTTTATTTTACTTACATTAAAATGATCCTTAAAATGAGCAATAAAATGGTGACGATGTTTTGATATCGCGCCGAGCTATTTTAATCCACTTTATCCTTATTTTCCCTTTTGGCACGGTGATAAACCTTTTCTCAGGAGTTTTCCAGGTTGTATTTGTACAAGGCACAAAACAATATTTACAACCAATTTTTGGTTTCGCGTTTTCCATGTTAAACATAAACTTTATCGGTGTTTATTATTTGTTGACATCTTGATTTCTGACAGCTGGTGAAGCTTATGACGTCATGCAATATGGCGGGAGTTCGGAAAGTTTGAAAAGTACCTTTTTTTCAATTTGATATTTTGGGGCCGGGTTGAACTTTTGGAATATAAAAAAATATTTTCGCAATGTGTTTTTACCTCTAGATTACAATAAAAAGGTTTTTAGGGATTTTCATTTTTGATGCAATTAATCTATTAAGTAATACATTTTATTAAATAAAAAAAATCATATCATATGGTCACAGTAATCGAGAAACCATTGAGTTTGGAACTCGCTCAAAAATTCCGGGGCAATTCCGAAAACAATAATTTATATTTTTGCGAATGGATTGCAATCTGGAGAATGCGGTGGCCAACTGGCTCACTTCTGCTAATCCAACAATTTGAATAATTATAAATTAGATATTGCGTTTGTTGGATAATATTGGAGATAAATTAAACGGTAAAAAATATAGTTTTTTGAGAAGGTGCTTTTCTTACTTAAGAGTGTTTTGTATTATAATTTATAATACAAAACAACCGTTTTTAGATATGTAATATTTTGAATTAGGATATACACAGCGCTCTGCAGAGTTGTCAAGTTTTTATACTTAAATACTTAATAACTAGATAAGTAGTTTGTTGCAATTTTTTATACAAAAAATATAGCGTGGTATTGTCGTTCGGGGCCTGTATAAATCTAATAACTTAGATATTTTTGTTGTTTGCGTGGCTTTAAATTCTTAACTACGACATAATCTTACCATCAGTGTTAACTGCAGATACATAGGTCCAACCAAAGTATCTCACTATATCTAACATTACTTGTGCTTGATAGTAATCTGAGGGAACTACGCGAAGAAAGTAGTTAAAACGACTCTTATCAGAAAGATCTCTGCTTGTTGTGGAATAACCAACTTGGGGCAAATGAAAAAGTTGCAGTAAATTTTGTACTTGTAGAGCTACCGAACTGGACCCAGGACCAACGACTCCTATAAGCGGTCCTCTGTCCTTGCTTGATTGAGTTTGACAGATGTCCACAGTGGATAGAGGTGTAATGGCATCTCTAATAAGCTCTATGCTCTGTTGTAAGGCCACAGGCGCATACCAACACTCATCCCTTATTTCCACTCCCAAAGTGAGGTTTGGCAATAAATTCGGGTTCTGGTTAATTTTATCTAACGTTTGTAGCGTCACCTCGACCCTTTGAATGCCGTAAAGCTCCCTTATTTCACCACATCTGATGCCGAGGCTGGCAATTAGTCTTTTCTTTGACGACGGCTGGTGGTGTAAGGGAAAAAGTGCGCCGATGATGAAATCGCCGTTAATAAAGGCCGAAATTCTTTTGTCCGGTTCGGAATTCTGCACCGTATTAAGGATCAGGATCAGGATCGTCACAAGGATTATAATCGCCTTTCGCTGCGTAGCCGGTTCTGTCATTGTGGCTGACGATTCGAGTTCTTCGGCTTGCGGGTGGCTTCATTTTGATTTTATTCTGAAAAAAAAAACAAATACAATTTGCAAGTGTATGCTACACACAGAATATATTCTTTTGTGTATTATAAAATTCAATACATAAAATAAAACGTGTTTGAAATAAAATAAAAAAGAGCAGAATATTAATGCTTTTTATAAAAAATACAGACTTTTCCTAAATTCAGTCACTCTTGGTGAGGTACGACATAGTAACCGAGACCTCGCTTAAAACCAAAACTTTACATCCCACAATAAACTACTCCTACAGTTCAAATAAACTATAATGCATTGTATCGGTATAATATGCGGAGCTCAGATAAAAATTTATATCATTTAAAACAATTTTATCAAAAAACCGAATCAAGAATCGACACCAAGCGAGGAAGTTTATAACGTTTTAGATTTTAAACAATTATAGGTATGCTTTTAATTTACTCAAGTTCGTCTATAAAAAATCGGAGTTGAGAGAAGTACCTCTGCATAAACAAGACTTTTGTATTATAAAAAAATTCCATTAATATTATTTAAAAACAATAATTTTGTGCTGGGTCCTAAATTATTTAGTATTTTACCAAACGAGCTTAAAAGTATAAAATCATTTGATTTGTTTTGCACAAAATTATAATTAGTTCATTTAAAAAATAGTGTTATGTTTAAATAATTATTTATATGACTCTTATACTTAATACAGACTTTTCCTAAATACGAAAATAGATGATTCCACTGATTTTAAGCAGAATTTTTTTTAAATACAAGTTTTACATTAAATTTTCTTATTGCATTAAATTTAATATTTGTTTAGAGCCTCTAGGCTAAGAGGATACTCTTAGTTTTGTGTACAAAATAGTAAGAATAAATTTTATAGTATATTATATAAATTAGCATATATGCTATATTAGGGTGTTGCATTTTTTGCTTCACAGCATCCCCAACCGTTTTTTGTCTATGCCTTTATAAATTATACTTTTTACTTTGTTTTAATATTACTTAAAACTGTGGTTGTTGTTTTCTACCTATAATATATTATTTTATAATATTTTAAAGATAACATATAATATTGAAATTCTTAAAAAAACTTATACAGGGTGTCCAAAAAAACTATAAGCGAGCATTTTGTTCCATTACAGTCAAACGCAACAGCAAAATTTGTGGAGGGAATCAATTTGTATTTACAACGCTTTCGTTTTAAGGTTATTTAAGAGTTATTACATAATCCAGTATGTATTTCTATGTAGATCAAACAGATTAAACATTTGTATCCATTTTCCAACATCAGGATTAGCATAAGTTAATTTCTTGAAACTGGTAATGATCGCGATACAGACAGCACCCGATTACTGTAGATCAAATTCGAATAAGATACAGAAATGATTCATGTAATATATATAATATTATTTAAGAACATATGTTATTATATATATATATTAGGGTGCTTCGTTTGAGACGACTATTTTTTGTTTCTTACTCCATTGACGAAATATTGTTCTAAACATAGAAAAAAAAATTCCCTCCAAAGGAGAGCTCTTAATTTTAATTTTAAGTACTCGCTAAATGAATTTAAAGTTTTCCCATTTAATTAACCCGTAAATTTATTTTTTTTTGCTTAAATTATCTATAGCATAGCGATATTTCAAGGCATTAATTTGAAAATGGGTGGAAGTTGGAGAGGGATCATTCCTCTTTCAAAGCTCTTACAGCTAATTTCCAACTTTTGAATTATATTGCCAGTAAAAAATTGTGTAGTTAATTTTTGCTCTTGGTTTTTCGAAATTTATCTCAGAAACAATTTATTCTTCGGGTTCGGCTGTTAATTTGTCTTGTAGGAAATTAAATTCTCTACAAAAAAGGTCCTTTACAATTTTGGTGTCAAGACAATAGTTTAGGAGAAAAAGTCGAAAAACGACGATTTTTGAGCAAAAATCAACTAAACAATTTTTTACTGGCAATATAATTCAAAAGTTGGAAATTAGCTGTAAGAGCTTTTAAAGAGGAATTATTCCTCTCCAACTTCCACCCATGGTCATATGAATGCCATTAAATGTCGCTATGCTATAGATAATTTAAGCAAAAAAAAATTTTTTACGGGTTAATTAAATGGGAAAACTTTAAATTCATTTAGCGAGTACTTAAAATTAAAATTAAGAGCTCTTCTTTGGTGGGAATTTTTTTTTATATGTTTAGAACAATATTTCGTCAATGGAGTAAGAAAAAAAAAATAGTCGTCTCAAACGAAGCACCCTAATATATATATATATATATATATATATATATATATATATATATATATATATATATATATATATATTAGGGTGAGCCAAAAAAACTAACCTATCGGATTTATGGATTAAAATGAACCTACACACCGAGTAAAAAATTTCCCTGCAAGATTTTTTGCTCAATTTTAAAAGGTGTCGGTGAGCATTTTAAGTTTTCCATTGAAATAACACGTAAAAAAATCTTTTTTCATTAAAAAGACTATAACTTTTGAACCGTTTAAGATAAAAATTTTTACGTCGCGGATTCTTGTAGAGCATAAAATTTCCCAAAGAATCTATACCAGGATTATTTTTTTTAATTCAAAAATTCGTATGTTTGAAAGCTTTAAAAAGTGTAAAAAATCACTAAAACTGCAATTTTGGTGATTTTTTACACTTTTCAAAGCTTTCAAACATACGAATTTTTGAATTAAAAAAAATAATCCTGGTATAGATTCTTTGGGAAATTTTATGGTCTACAAGAATCCGTGACGAAAAAAATTTTATCTCAAACGGTTCAAAAGTTATAGTCTTTTTAATGAAAAAAGATTTTTTACGTGTTATTTATAGAATGCTCACCGACACCTTTTAAAATTGAGCAAAAAATTTTGCCTTGCAGGGAAATTTTTTGCTCGGTATGTAGGTTCGTTTTAACCCATAAATCCGATAGGTTAGTTTTGTGGGCTCACCCTAATATATATATATATATATATATATATATATATAGATATGCAATCCTACATTACCAAGCCCGAAACGTTACATTCTACAGTATAAACGAAGCCCACTTGGTTTTTACGAAGCCCGAATTCGGGCTTCCTAAGATTATCGTGTATAAATTTGTTTTAGAGTTAAGTGATGCCCCCTTGTTTCAATGGCGAAAAAGTGGTGGGCTTCCTAATGCCATTCAAACCTATCAAAATATACACCCTTAGTTCCAATGCTTTGGCGGTAGGGGGCACACGAGTCAAACGAGATTATATACAGCTTTGTATAAGTATTACGCAGTATACGAAGCCCGTACATCTGGCAACAATGGGGACTATACGCTCGATGACTTTTTAATAGGAAGGCGGGGAAAATAATGCGGGATTCTTAAATTTGTATCTACTGATTTTCAAAATAAATGTTATATTTCCAAAATTATGTTTTGTTCACTACATGGCGTGGATTAAAAGGCAATGTTTTGTTAAATACTTTCGTAATACACTTAATTTTAAAGTATTATTTATTTTTGAAATATTATTTGGAGTGCATTTTTCTTTGGGGCGGTTTTACAAGTTGTCCAGATATTTTAATCGGAGAAACAAGTGTATTTGTATATATTATTATTATTATTCAATGTTACATTTAAATAATTGAAATAAAAATAATTTTTAATTTATTTGAAACATTTCCAATTTTAATAAAAATAATTTTTAATTTATTTAAAAAATTTCCAATAGCGGTATGAAATAAATTACAAATTATTTTTATTAAATATCATTATTGAATTGCAAAAACTGCTTTTTGACAGATAGCTTCTCATGGCAATTTGTCAATTAACATTCACAACTGGTCAATTTTATGGCAAACAACGACCAAACAACAATAAGAAATTGGGTTCTTTATTTGGATAGTGCTTATCTAAAAGGAACCAAAAACTTGTTCGGAGCTTAACAAACTTATTTGTATATACCTAACTCATTTTTAATGCTGCTCAAAAACTGAATTATAATTTGAAAGTCCTCTCAATAATTTAAAAGAAGTTCTAAGTAATGATAAACTTTTTGATCATTATTAAAAATGAGTTATTTTACAAAAAATTTTGTTAAGTCCAAAAATAGTTTTTGGCGCTTGGTTCCTTTTAGATAAGGATTGTCCATTTATACTTACCATTACAATAATATTTTATCAACCGTTTTGGTTAAAGTAATATTTTATCTACGATTTTTATTGGATAAAAGGCAGCTTTAACTTTATAATGTAGCTATAAAACAATATTTGGTTGGTAATACATTTTACTGGTTTATAGGATGCTAAACTAAATAGCAATTTTCCCCACTTCTTTTTTTTATTTTTAAACTTTTAATTTGGTTTAGTTTTTCATAACAAAAATTTATTATCAAATTTTAACATTTAAAAAAATAATATTTAATGATTTTAGAAACAAAATATACCTAAATTATTACAAAAATTAATTAAACTTAATAATAAATTTTATGCCTAAATAGGTGAAGGTATATTTGAAAAAGGTTGTGTCTTTTTATTTTTTTACTAGATTTTCTAGGACAAATTCGTAAACTTACAAAAAGCATTTTTTTCACCTATTTTTTTAATTTTGTAATTTTTATATTGGTTTAGTTTCCCATAACAAAAATTTAATTATTTTGAAACAAAAAAAATTAAATTTAATGATTTAAATATGAATTTTAAATCAAATTTGCCTATAATTATAAATTTAGACAATATTTTTAAATAATGACTTATAATTCATTCAATAATATAATAGTTTTTATTAAAATAATTATAAATCACACTATTTTTAAATACACTGCCCTACAAAATTATTGCATAATAAATAAAAAAAATAACTCTAAAACGCCTTTACTAATCTTTATGAAATTTTGGATAAAAATACTTCAACTTATATCTCAATTTACAAGTTCAAGGGTTTTTCGAGAAAATATGTTTAAAGCCTTTTTATTTAATAATGAAAATAAGTTCGAA